CTATTAAATTATATTATAGTATAGCATATATCTATTATATTGTTGAATCTGTATCTGAATTCTGTCTTCCACTAGTCTACTTACCTTTTCTCATGTCAATATTATACTGACTTCATTACAGTGATTTTATAGTATGATCTGACATCTAGTAAGGCAAGTTTCCCCTCACTTTTTTATTTCCCCTCAAAAATCTGTCACTCCCCCAACCATATATATTTCATATCATATTATATAAATTAAAAACAGGATTTATCAGTTAAATCAATTAAAATAATTCCTGGATGTACATTAAATTTGGGGAGAACTTTTTTTTATATAATATGAATGCATACTACCCCAAAACAAGATTTCTCTTTTGTTTGATCTTATATGTCCTTTAATAAAATTAGAAAGTTTTTGTTTTAATTTGTAACTGTGCCTTTCTTATAAAATTTATTACTAAATATTCTATGTAATTCTCAGTACTTTTTTGAGAATGGATTTTTTTTCCTATTTCCCTTCCCAAGTATTTAATACAAAGAATATTTTTAAAATTTTACCTAGCCAACTTATTGTATCAACTTATTAATTTTATAAGTCTTTTGGTCAAATCATTATGAGAAGAATATCTTAACTAGCTTCTTACCTCTATATGCCAGATCTTCCAAAAATACTGATTGTAGTATTTATAGAGGCTAATCCATGTTTACATCCTGATTTTGACTTAAATTGTAATAGTATTTCACCTTTTGGGAAAATAACTGCTGTTTGTCCTTAGATGATAGAATATTTTACATTTAAATAGTTATATTCCTGTTTAACATAGAGATTTTAATATTATTATCTATCTGATTACAGTCATGCTTACCAATCTGTCATTGATTGGCTGGCTGACCTAGAGACATCTCTGTATTCTTTAGGTATTATTCTTTTAACTAGGCCATAGGTATTATTCTTTCAACTAAATGATACATGAATTAGATGTGCTAGTATTTCCTTTTGCATTCTACATTTATATTCTTCAGTGAGGTTAGACTTTTTCTCTTCTTTTATACTACATCTAGCAGGATTAAGTATAAAACTATGCTAGATTCAATATAAAATGAACTTAAAGCTTTACATTCTTATCATGATAAGAATAGTATAAAAGGCAATGCTCTTTCCTATTTTTTTAAAAGATTTTATTTATTTATTTGACAGACAGAGATCACAAGTAGGCAGAGAGGCAGGCTGAGAGAGGAGGAAGCAGGCTCCCCACTGAGCAGAGAGCCCAATGCGGTGCTCAATCCAGGACCCTGAGACCATGACCTGAGCTGAAGGCACAGGCTTAAACCCACTGAGCCACCCAGGTGCCCCTCTCTTTCCTATTTCTTAAGACCTAGGTAAGAACTGCAAATCTTGTCATGGTGCGTTGTTCTATGTACTCTAGTTACTTTTCCTATCTCTTCTCTGGTAATGACCTATTAAAGTTTATAATTATTCAGTCAATTTTAATAATTTATATTTCCTAGGACACTATTCATTTCATTGATGTTTCACATGTTACCATAGAATTATGGTTGTATTATCTTTTGATTAACTTATCCTGTATCCATGGTTGGTGTCCTCTTCAATCTTAATCACATGTTTTTGGAATGATCACTTGGATTTCTTTATTCTTTTTTCTTTTTAGTTGCTTTCATTCTGGTTTTCATCCATATTAATTCTTCTTGCCTTATTTTGTTTTATTCTATTGTTCCTTAACTAATTTATTATACTTGGCAAAGAATTATCTTCCAAAGAACTAAAAAATTTTCAATAAGATTTGAGTCAAGGTAGTATGAAACTTAATAAAATGAGGTTATTAGGCTTGAAAAAGAAGAACAAAGCCAAAGGAATCACAATCTCAGATTTCAAGATACACTACAAAGCTATAGTAATAAAACTGTATGGTACTGGCACAAGAATAGACACATATAGCTCACTGGAACAAAACAGAGATCCCATAAATAAACCCATGATTATGTGGTCAATTATCTATCATAAAGGAGGTAAGAAATATATCATGAGGGAAAGACAGTCTTTTCAATAAATGGTTTTGGGGAAAACTGGAGAGCAGATTTTGTGGTTTTGGGGAAAACTGGAGAGCCATTTTTGGTGTGCCAAAAATGAAACTGGACCACTACCCACAAAAATAAATTCAAAGTGGATGAAAGACCTAAACGTGAAACCTAAAACCATAAAACTCCTAAATTTAAAAGTAAACAAAGGAAGGAATCTCAGACATTCACCTTAGCAACATATCTATTATGGATATGCCTCCTCAGGCAACAGAAACAAAAGCAAAAATAAACTACTGGGACTGCATCAAAGAGAGAGGAACTAAAAGCTTTTGTCAGCAAAGGAATTCATCAACAAAACAAAAAGGCAACCTCCTGAATGAGAGAAGACATTTGCAAATGATGTATCCAATAAGGGGTTAATATCCAAAATATATAAAGAACTTATAAAACTCAATACCAAAAAACAAACAATCCAATTTTAAAATGGGCAGAGGACCTGAAAAGATATTTTTCTACGGAAGACATAGAGAGAGCTAACAGACACATGAAAAAATGTTCAACATTACTAGTCATCAGAGAAATGAAAATCAAAATCACAATATCACCTCCCACAAGTCAAAATGGCTAGTATCAAAATGACAAAACATAATAAGTGTTGGGGAGGATTTGGAGAAAAGGAAATGCTCCTGTACTGATGACAGGAATGTAAATTGGTACAACTACCGTGGGAAGCAGTATGGAGATTCCTCAAAAAATTAAAAATAGAAATATCATACAGCCTAGTTACTCCACTGCTGAGTATTTACTCAGAGAAAATGAAAACTAATTTCAAAAGATATATGCTCCTCTATGTTTACTGCATTATTATTTATAATAGGAAAGTTATGTAAGCAACCCAAGTGTCCAGATATAGATATATATATATATATATATATATATACACACACACACAATAGAATATTACTCAGCCATAAAAAAGAATGAAATCTTGCCAATTGGGATGACATGGATAGAACTGAGGGTATTAATGCCAAGTGAAATAAGTGAGACAGATAAAGACAAATATCATATGGATTTCATTTATGTGAGGAATCTTGTAAGTAAAAAAAGAAAAAAAATGAACAAAGAAAAAACAGACTCCTAAAAACAAAGAACAAACTAGTGGTTGCCAGAGGAAAGGTGGGTGGGATGGATGGGTAAAGTAGGTAAAGGGGACTGAGAGGTACAAACTTTCAGATACAAAATAAATAAGTAATAGAGATGAAAAGTACAGCATAGGGAATAGAGTCAATAATATTTTAACAATGCCGTATTGTGGCAGATGCTAACTATACTTAACCACGGTAAGCATCGAGTAACGTGTAGAAATGCTGTGTACACCTGAAACTACTATAACATAGTATATCACCTACACTTCAATTTAAAAAAAAGATTATTAGGTGATGGGGTCCCAGCTTTATCTCTGTTTATTCATATATGCCTTTCAGCAAATTATTTAAGCTAAGCTAATAGTTTCTACAACTGTAAACTGAAAAGAGAATATAGTCTCAAGATTCTTGAGACACCTGAGAAAACTGATAAAATTTTAAGCTCCTTCTGAGAAAAGGAGGCTTTTTGAAGGAATAAGAGACCTTGGAAAAACTGAACTGGAACTCACTGCCTTTAGAAATAATAATATCTAAGAAAATCTAGTTTTTCTATGATAGTGAAATATAATAGAGATCTATATTCATTCTATGAACACTCAGGTCATAATCAGGTGAACTCTTAAGATGTTTCACCAATATGAATGCCTTAGAATTACAAGAACTTCCTAAAGAAGATGCATGTAAGTTACATTACAGAATAACAGAGATAGGTGTGGTTTTTTGTTTTTTTGCTTTTTTTTTTTTTTAAGTATCACATCATTAAACCATATCCTCATATTTTTCTTAGAAGAAAAAAACCTGGGGTCAAGTGGATTTCAGGCACTTCCACTGAACCCTGTGATGTTGCAAACAAAAATCTAGGTGTATTTATTTAATTGTTATTGGGAGAATTAATCACACTGATAGATTTGCAAAGAGTTTGGGACCTGAGAGGTTGAAAAAGACTATTCTAGACAAGTAATTCAACTTCCTATTTTTAGTCTGTGATTAAACTTTTCCATGGTCATACTTTTGCTACTTCACCAAACAGACTTTTTCATTATTGGACAGTTACGACTACCAAAAAACTCTGGTGTACATCAAGTCAAAATCTACCTCTAAAATTATCATCTATTTTCTTGATTTCAGACTATGAAGCATGAGAGAATAATTCCTTATTCTTGAAAACAGCCCTATACTTATTTGTGGGTAGTCAACTTAGCGCCAAGACATTTCCCTTTTTCAGACCAGCAATTTTTAAACAACACAGCATAATCCACTAATCCAAAATTTTCTCTAAAGAAAGATGATTTAACAACTCATGAAGACAATATTTTACATTCTTAAAAGGTTCCACAGTGAAAGCTCACCTAATTCTTGTCAGAGGGATATAGAGTGCTCTAAACTTACTTGTGAATTTCAAAAAGAATTCAGAGAAAACAACTGCATTACATTGATGTATGTGACCTAATGAATCTGCATTATTCTCACATATTTATTTACTTTAACCAGTAAATTCTTAGAAACTGTAACTCATAAATTCTTTAAAAATTATTTCTTAAACTACTGTCAAAATATTACCCATGGATGGACTTCAACCCATGTTCAAATTTTAGCCATAAGTCATTTTTTTATTTCTTTTTATGTATTCAGGAAGGATAAAGGCAGTAATATCATTTTAAGTGGTACTAAAAACAATATTTACATTAATTCCTTCAGGGGAAAAAAGAGAGAAAATATGTAGTAGAGTGAAGTATAACAACATACAAGGGAGAACAAATTCAAAAATGGTAAACCCAGCTCTTTAAAACTCAGCACCAAAATTCAATAATTATACAAGAGAATTACTTACGGATACAATTCTGAAAGCTGTTCAGCTATTGCATAAGCTGCTGGGTCTCTGTCTAAGGCATACAGAGCAATGTCTGACTCCTTCTGTAGAATGGCTCTTGTGTGTCCTCCTGAACCAAATGTCATATCTAGAAAAATCTGGCCAACACAGAAAAAGAAAATTACTACCTAGCATGAACAAAATACTCTTGCTAGCTACCTTAATTTCTGGAGGTACATATTGATTTTCCAAGCTGATAGCAATTGGAAAAACAATTAAAATTATTTTGCCTAGAGTTCAATTTGTTATACAAGAAACCTGGATCAATTATGAGTGACCAGTCTGAAAGAAATGGTCAGAGTATCAGTAAAATGATCATCTCTGGCACAGGCTGGCCAATTTAAGACAAATTTACATTTTCCTCCAAAGGTCAAACTGGCTACAGAGTTATGCTGCTAGCTTTTTAATGCTTTCCAGCACCTGGCTGATGATAATATTTCCAACAATTTCTCATTATTTGGAAATAGCTTACAATTAGTATGGCTCACTTTATCTCAATTTCTCTAAATGCTTTGTATTACACATGAAGATATTCAAGAATACAAAGAAAAAATGAGAGAAGGAAAGAGATAAAGGAAAAAAAGAATGAATACACCTAACAATAAATAATCACAGGACAAATCCTTAAAAATCAAAACTGGAAAAGGCTCAAGGCTTAAGTAAAAACAACTAGGGTAAATTCTAGCTTTGTCACAAGGACCTATATATTTTTGGGAAAGACACTTAAAATCCCAGTGCTTTTAGATTTCCCCAAGCTTTGAAAAGAAAAAGAAAGTCAGAGGAAAAGAAGATACCATCAATACTTACCTAACTGGTAAGGTGACATATAATTGCTCATCTAAACCAAGACACTTGAGAATGTAAGATCTGTAAGTAATAATTTTGCTAGGATAACAGTTTATGATCTACAGGGGTGGCTTCATGCTTAGATCATTCTAGAGAAACAGTAAAGCTAACTGGACTTGAATCTACATCTTGGCTATTTTACTGGGCCACACTATAAAGAAAATAGGTCTCAGTTGGGCAAGAAACCAGACCTGGAGCATTAGAAACATAATTGTTAATAAGTTAATTGGTTGTGGTTGATTTGGAAGTCAAGACACTCTCAGTGTAGATTAATGTGCCCTTTCAATAAGCTTCACTGGTATTATGAAAATAAAAATAATTATTCCAATAATGTTGAATACTATGAAAAATGACATATACTATAGATCAAACTATTAAAAATATTTAAACATGTAACTTTTTCAAAGTTAATGTGAACACTGCACAAGAAGACAATTTCTTGAAATGGATCTGAACATTCTCCTGCCCTGAAGGCTACAAATTATTTCCAGGAGAGTGGTCAGAAACAAGACACAAGTACGCTTTGAATTTTTGCTACCAGTTACCCTGCTGAGATCCATCCTCTGATCAAGTCCTCAAAAAAAGTAAGCCTGCTATTTCAAGAATAACGTGGAGGAAATCTTCTGATCAAAACTTAGGAGGGATGTAAATTATGAGAGATGTAAATGTGGTGAAAAACCACAAGCACTGCTTTTTAACATAAGTATGTTAATACAACTAAAGCTTGCACTTCTGTCACTGTCAGCACAAAAGACATGGCTATACACTCTTTTCAACATTATAAATGATAACGTTAAAACAACACTTGAAACTTACCAAACTCAATTCCCAAAGAATAATCCAATCAAGAAATGGGCAGAGGACATGAACAGACATTTCTGCAAAGAAGACATCCAGATGGCCAACAGACACATGAAAAAGTGCTCAACTTCCCTCAGTATCAGAGAAATACAAATCAAAACCACAATGAGATACCACCTCACACCAGTCAGAATGGCTAAAATTAACAAGTCAGGAAATGACAGATGCTGGTGAGGATGTGGAGAAAGGGGAACCCTCCTACACTGTTGGTGGGAATGCAAGCTGGTGCAGCCACTCTGGAAAACAGCATGGAGGTTCCTCAAAAAGTTGAAAATAGAGCTACCCTATGACCCAGCAGTAGCACTACTCATATTTACTCTAAAGAAACAAATGTAGTGATCCAAAGGGGCACATGCACCCGAATGTTTATAGCAGCAATGCCCACAATAGCCAAACTATAGAAAGAACCTAGATGTCCATCAACAGATGAATGGATAAAGAAGATATATATATATCTATATATATATATTTATATATATATATATAGATATATATATATGGTGGAATACTATGCAGCCATCAAAAGAAATGAAATCTTGCCATTTGCAATGACGTGGATGGATCTAGAAGGTATTATGCTGAGTGAAATAAGCCAATCAGAAAAAGACAATTATCATATGATCTCCCTGATATGAGGAATTTGAGAGGCAGAGTGGGGTATCTGGTGGGTAGGGAAGGAAAAAATGAAACCAGATGGGATCGGAAGGGAGAGAAACCATAAGAGACTTTTAATATCACAAAACAAACTGAGGGTTGCTGGCGGAGAGGGATATGGAGAGGGTGATTGGGTTATGGACATTGGGGAGAGTATGTGCTCTGCTGAGTGCTGTTAAGTGTGTAAGCTTTACGATTCACGACCTTTACCACTGTGGCAAATAATACATTATATGTTAATAAAAATAATTAGAAAAAAAACACTTGAATTTCTTGCCTTTTTTTTTTTTTAAGTAGTCCAATGTGAGGCTCAAACTCATGACCCTGAGATCACAATCCAAGCTGAGATGAAGAGTCGGACATTTAACCGACTGAGCCACCCAGGAGCCCCTTCGTATTATTTGTATGGTTGTTAGGAGTATATACTTATAATCTCAAAATAAAATAATTTCTGTTCTCAGTCTGTATACTTACTTTATGTATCAATGAATAAGTAAAAATTTCCCACCTTACCATACTTCAGTTTAAAAATTTCTAGGGGCTTAGCATAATTTAAGCAAAAAACTTCTCCAAGGCAGAAATATAAATTACTTTCTTGTTATGCCCCAATATCAAGTCTTGCTATAATTCTGTATTTAAACTGAGAGTATAGAAAATAAAACAATTTGCATATGATTATTTTATCTCAAGCCAGGAAAGTCCCAATCGATAATTAAAAAAAAAATCCTCATCATTAAAAATATTCTGGAAAATGTAAGATGATTATAATTTACATGATTATTTTTTAATATATCATGATTATGCCCTTGGAGATGTACTGACAATCAAGGAAGTTTCCATAGGAAAAAAAAAATAATTATAACCAGTCAAATGTACCACAAAGCAAAGCTGGAGACATGGATTTATAAAACTACAAGTGAACCCCACCATATGTCCTAGGTTAATAGGTTACTGAAGCCATCAACTAGAATTTTGAAAATTCTAATATATATTGCTCATTAATGTAGGCCTTGTGAATCAACCAGCACAATAACTGAAAAGGGAGCCAATTAGTGTCTCCCTTCTCCTGGGTCACTAACTTGATATAAGACCACATTTTAAAATTTGTACTAGCTGACAATAAAATAATACTGGACAAATGCAAAAGAACAAATAAATCTGAGTGTTACAAATCAATGCTTCTATAGGTCTCATCTGCATGTATTCATATATATATATATATATATATGAATATATATATATATATTATGTTTCAAACATAAGAGGAATTCTTTCTTTAAAATTACCTGATATAATTTATCTAAAACATAAAACCAATATTTGATACCAAGATTTTATTCTGACAGTCCCACTTCTCACTTGTATAATCCTGACCAAAGTATTTTAACCCTGAGCCTCAACTGTTTCATCTAAGAAAGGGGGATAAAATGTACCCCTATTTACTTCACAGATACATAAAAATTATCTTATTTCTCCCTTACAATCACAAAGTTGGTGTTATCAGATTTATACATACATAGAAACTAAGATTAAACTAAGCTAGTAAGTAGCAAATGCAGAAACTGAATACAGGTATACCTGGCTCTCTTCTGCATTAAATCAACAAAGCCTATATCTGCCCAATACCTTATAGTTTATTGAGCATTAACAGTTTTCCTACTTGGTCTAACAAAAGCTCTGTAAGTAGGACAAGTGGCTTTATCCCCATTTTTGCAAGTACAAAACTCAGGTGCAGAGAGATAAGGTGACTTGATCAAGATCCTATAACAAGCAAGTGAGGGAAAGAGAACTCTAAACCATGTGTCACCAACTCTGTATTTTGTGCCTTTTCTGAAAGAAATAAAGAGAAGAAGGGAGGAGTGAACAAAAGAAAGAAATAAAAAAGTGGATGACATAGAATCATGGTAGAAATAGCTTTATAAAAATTATATAAGAAAACTTTAGGTTTTTTATAGATCACCCATTCCCACTGGAATTTAGGCTCTCAGAAACCATGTCTTAATCTTTGTGTAGCGGGACAACTCTTGAGATACATGTGTTTCTCTCTTTTTTCTTCCTCTTCTCTTTCTATTTCAAACAGGTGCCTAGGTATTTAGAGCTTTAGAAATGTATGTTCCTTGAGGATTTTTGCATGACACAAAGAAAAAAGTATCTTTCCTACCATCTGGAGAAAACCACTTTCCTATCAGTTAATATTAAAGAACAACAACAAAAAGCTCAGAAAGAATGCTAGTTATCCTGGGTAGGTTATTATCTTTAAGGAAAAGAGAGATAAATCTCACTGAAATTGGATAGAAGAGAGATGGGAAAAATGAACAAATTCCAGGAAGGTGCAGGACTAATGAAACGACTGACAGATGATAAGATCTCAAAGCAGCTGTCAATATGAGGAACTGAAGAAGGGTGGACCCTCAACACAGGGTTCCCAGTGATACCAGAGGTTTCCATACCCCTCTTTGGCACAGAAGCAGCAGAACCTCTGGTCCTAGAGGGCCTTTATTACAACAAAAGGCAGCTCAGGGAGAACTAAGTGTGGTATGAGATGAGTAGTAAGATGCAGGGCTTCTGCATAGCTCAGTTGGGGTAATGAGAATGACTGAGATTGATGGCTTCTCAGGAGATTGGGGCTCAGAATCAAAATAAAAGTGACTTAAAAAATAAACATTTGAGGGAAGATGCATAACTACAGTTCTCCAACTCTGCCTACACTTTAACAGCATCAGTGTACAGCAGTAGA